TAAGCTTTAATGAAATACAGCAAAAATGCGTACAATTTAATATTTGATACAAGGAAGTCATGTGGTATACACATCAGATTTTTTTCTTTTCAATATTTGATCATGTTAATTACAAGGCTGCCACGCTATTGAGTCAGGCAAATCGAAAATTGTCCAAAAAAGTCGGGGAAAAATCAGGGAATTTCATAACAGCGATCCCCCAAAAAGCGATTTTTGCGCCAATGTTGAAAGTGATCATGTTCTTGGTGAATTATGTATCGCATGCGCGTCATTCAGGCAGCTAGTGTAGAGCCAATTTTCACAGCGCCAATCAGATTGTCTTTCAGAAAGGCAAAAGAAAGTTTCCAATAACCTCTTGAATTCAGGGGCTCGCACATAAGAATCGCATGCGCATGTGGAACAGAAGAAAGAGTTGAATTTCTGCCTTGTGGTTAAGAAAGCTCGTTTACTGTTTTCAGTTAAAAAGTCTGGTAAGTTAAATTTTGTAATCTTTTACACCTTATTAACTTTTTTTAATGTATGTTTACTTAACACTCTATTGTATTTGTTAGTTAAAATGATAAGAATTCGTGCAGTGCATTTTTAAAGTTAGAAAAAGTTTATTGTTGCTTTATTAATCATATTTTGTGCAGTATTAAACAAATCAAATTGAACCGTTAAGCTTTTCAACATCGTTGGCGCCGTATATATATTATGATTATCTGACTTCCAAATTATTTTAAAAAAATCGATACTTTTTAAATTTCATTAAAAACATTGACTTTGTTTTGTAAATGGCAAAATATTCTTTTTTTCCCCTTTTTTTGTTCTGAATTCGGTTTTTTGTTGTTTAGATTTTTAAATAATTCGCATTTGAAATTTATTTTCGAGAAATCAACGACGATAAAACTTGTGGCCGAATTCAGAAACAAACATTAAATATTAAAATGTTTGTCCCCCTTTTTTTTTATACACTTCATGTAGTAAAAATAAGTAATCAATCCTGCTCTTCTTGAAATCTCCAATTTTGATGTGCCCTTCCCCCATGCTCATACAAAAAATCTTTTAAACATTTTTCTTTTTTATAAATACCTTGTTATTTTGCAGTAAATTAAACAAAATAATAACAAGTTATCTTGGCTAACCATTCATTATAACTATATTCGGCAAAATACTGTTTATTGTAATTCACTTTTTAATCTTAAATTAATTAACTTTATTTAAATGTTATTCATGTCATTTAATGTTGCTTCTTCCTTCTAAATTTATTTCTTATTAGTTAATACTTCCAAATTTCAGGCAATGTTCTATGGCATACTCGTGAAACTAATTCCGGCAGTACGATAACATACCATTACGAAATTTAGTGTGCATACTTTTTAATTAATTTATGTTGCTAAATAAGTATAAAACACTTGAATTTATTTAAAAAAATTAAATAGATTTCTATCTTTCCTTTAGCTGCAAAATGTCTGAAAAAAAGACAATTTTTAATCCAGATTGGGCAGATTCTAATCTCAATCCTCAGTGGAGTTCATGGTTGCAACCTTTCGAAGGAACTAACATGGCAAGATGCACGTTTCACCAAAAAAAATATCATGCTTAGTAACATGGGAAGGAAATCAATCGCAAACCACACAAACAGTGTAAAACATAAGAAAATCATTTCTATGGAGAAGAACTCAGAAAACTTAAAAAACTATTTCTCCATAGATAAAAACAGTTCTGATACACAGCAGTCTTTAGCACTAGTTCTGAATCAAATTTAAACTCCTTCGTAACTAAGAACAAAGTTTTAGCTGCGAAATTACTGTGGACTATAAAACTTGTTTCTTCACATGTTTCTTATAATACATTTAATAATGCTGCTGTTCTGTTCCAGAAAATGTTTGATGACAGCAATAAAGCTAAAGCTATGACCCTGGGATGTACAAAAATGTCATATTTAGTGTCATTTGGTTTAGCTCCCCTCCATACTTAAAAAAGATGCTCATTTCTGATCTTAAGAACACTTAACTTGTAATTTGAAGTCAGTACAAAATACCTCACATCAATTTTTTGGGGACATGTATCTGCCCCTTCTGAGAAGTTTATTTGAGGGAACCTCAGAACTAGATAAAAAGAAATTGCTGCAAGTATCATTGGATGGACCAAATGCCAATCTTAAATTTCTCAGAGATTTGAAAGAAAATTTAGCAAATAATGATATTGGTCCATATATTAGATATTGGTCCTGTGGTTTGCATGCTGTTCATGGTGCCTTTAGAGCTGGCAATAAAGCTACTGACTGGAATTTAAGTGCATTATTTAAAAATATACATAGAGTATTTAAAGACAGTCCTGCTCGGCGAGCAGACTATATCGCCATCACTAACTGTACGACTTTTCCGCTCAAGTTTTGTGAAGTAAGATGGTGTGAAAACATACCTATTGATGACAGCTATTGATATTTTTCCTCATGTGAAAAAATATGTAGAATCATCCGAACTACAAAAAACTGTGTCAGTTGAAAAACTGTGTCAATTGAAAAACTGAGAGAAGCTGTTAAAGATAAGCTACTTTTGGCAAAAATCTCTTTTTTTATTTCTGTCGCAGGAGTTCTACATCCATTTCTAAAGTCATTTCAGACAGCTGATCCTTTCTGCCCCTTTCTATATACAACTTTTCATAGTATGCTAAGTTATCTTCTCTTCAAAATTCCCAAAAGAGATACACTGCAAGAGGCAAAAACTCCTGAAAAACTGATAAAAATAGATATTCTGGATCAAAACATTTACTATAATGTTGCAGATATAGATGTGGATATTGCTGCTGGTGCAAGTTTAGCTAAAAAAAAAACAGTATCTGATCTTAATAAAAGAGAATTCAGAACTATGTGCAGAACATTTTTGGTTAAGCTGGTATCAAAAATATTTGAAAGAAGCTCATTGAAATATAGCTTAGTTAAATACATTTTTTCATTAGGTCCTAAGCTCATTACGTCTAATGAATTTTTATGTGAGAAAAGGATGGAGAGGTTATTGCATATACTGTATGAAAGTGAATAGATAAATTCCACAGTTGCAGATAAATCAAAAGTGCAATTTAAAGAATTATTATTCAGAAGTAAGGGTGTTTGGAAAGAGACTTTTGTTAATTATGCTGCAATGCGACTTGATCACTTTTATAAGGACTTGATTAATAAGACAGATTTTAAAGAACTTTAAAGTGTTGTAAAACTAGTTCTAATTTTATCACATGGCAATGCCACAGTAGAAAGTGGTTTTTCAGTTAATAATGATATGTTGGTGGAAAATCTCCAGGAAAATTCTTTAACAGCAATGCAAACTGTTTATGATGCTATAAAAGTAAATGGAGGTGTTATGAATATTAATGTAACTCCTGATATGTTACGATATGCCAGATCTGCTCGTGGTGCATATCACCAAGCACTCGAAGACAAAAACACTGTGTGATAATAAACATAAAAAATATTATTAGACAAAAGGAAAGCACAGGCACAGATTAAAATTTTGGAGTCAAAAAAAAAAAATTGAGCAGAGATGTTTCTTCAATTGACTAGCAAATTGCAGAGTTAAAACAAGAAATCTAATTTGGTGCTTATTTTTCATTAGTATTTTTTCTATTAACGTTTTGTTTAAATATATTAAATGTCTTATTTTTAATTCTAATAAAAATTTACATTTAACATATATTATGTATGCTTATATGAACAATTTTGCATCAGGGAAAAAATATGCTTTTTTAGCCTTTCAGAATTTAGAAAGTGTTGAAATATCATTGAGTGATTGTTTGCCAATTACTGTAAATGCCCTTTTTTTTCGCGAGGCTTTAATTTTCGCTAGCCTGTCGTAATCGCGAAAATTTAAGCCTCGCGAAATACTTTTTTTTTGCCTCAAATAATAATAACAAATCAGAAAATTTTCACTTACCCAAAATTTAATGATTTATTTCACAGTTACAAGCTTTTTCTTGACAACTTTCTTTCTTATAACTATTTTTTGAATAATATACAAATAATATATGAATATAAAACAATAAAATTAATAGAAGGCAGCTGATTCACTTAAACTACTATTTATACCAACTTCTTTGAAGCGATTCAAAATTATCCCATGTTTGGCTTCAATACCGTTAAATACGCGCACAAGCCAAGAAACGCGAATCGGTTTTAGTCGTGATATTCGCAAATCCACAGATTCTTTTTCCTCTACAAACTGAAGCTCATCAGAATACCACTCAATAAGCTCATTCTTGAGCAAACGCTTGAACTCGCCATTTACAGTTAAGTCCAAAGGTTGGAGCTCTCCTGTGCACAAAGCGGGCAAAAAACTGGAATAATATTCCTCTTCTCTAGTTCAGTCAGAAAAATAGGATCTTGGTGTGCCTTAAAAACATCGAACAATGCTACACCAGGTTGTTCTGGAAATAGCCCAAGAAGCTCTCTCTGCTTGTCATAATCAGGTACAAGAAATTTCTTAAAATACTTGGGTAATATACTTTATATATAAAGTCATATTAGCAAATTTTTGTGTTATCAAGTGGCACCATGATTAATTAACCTTTAGCACAACTAATGCGCACTACGCGGATAGACAGGAATTTTCTTAAAACACACCTGGAAAACCTGGAGAAGTCAGGGAATTTCATTCTCCTGTTTGAGTGGCAACCCTGTAATTACTTCCTATACTACAACAAATAAACTTATAATGCTCTTGGAATTTAATTTTCTGTCAAATTTAAATACACTTGGTTTCATTCTTAAAAAAACTAATTGTATTATTACTAAAGGTGCATCATTTATATAATACTTGGCATTTTACGTATAAGTGTGATGCTCTGTCAGTGCTTAATTTATTTAAAAATTTGATCACATTATTTTCTATATTATATTAAATGAGCTCATAATGCATCAAGTTTTAATTTTCTGTTGAATCTAAACACACAATTTAATTTTATATTTAAAAAAAACTGACAGCAATACTACTACTTAATTTTCAATATATTAAAAAAGAACTTACCTTGAAGTGTTGTTATAGATTTATGCGAATGCATTAAATGAGGCATTACTTGATCTAAGGAGCCAAACCATTTACACTGAGCACCAGGACAAGGGCATGAATATGGCCTAAAAACCAAAGAAATCATAACAATTCTTATGAACACTAGTTCTAGAAACTGAATTATCAATTCCAATAATCAAATAAAATATTTAAAACATTTACTATTAATTAAACTGTCTAATCCCTCCTTTGAATGATGATTTCTCTGGCTTATTTAGCAAAGGGAAAGACCCAAAAAGTCATCAAATAAGCATTGGATGTTTTCCGTTCTTACTGGAAAACAGAATGCTTAAAAAAATTAATGTGATTATTAAATAAGCATTTTGAATCTAAATGTAAAGGTACTCCTGATTTAAATATTTATTATGGTACACTTTCTGATTCCCATCTAACCCCCCCCCAAAAAAAAAAATTCACCAAGCAGTGCTATTTTACCAAAATAGGCAATCCATGACATAATCAATGTATATAATGTGGCAACCCAAGTGTGATGAGCTGCACTCACTGTGTGTTCCCCCCTCCTTGTAAGGAATCATAATGGGACTGTGAATTTTGCTGGTTGATGAAAATGAAACCATAGCATTTCTTCAGAAATATAGTATTTTTTTAACAACAGAAAATGCAAAAATCTGCATTCTGTGAAGTTTTACTTAGTACAAGATTGAATTTTATGGATTGAAATTTGTGTGCCAATACCAAATTTCTGCTTTTAAGTGAAAAAAGATTGTTGTACATGGGAAAACAGCATGTGCAATCCCAAATCTATACATTTCCCTGGCGTTTAAGGGGGAAAAAAAAAAACTGTGTATATGAGAAAAACAAAAGAAAAAAAAAGGGTATTTTACTATGAATGTTTCCATTTTTAATTTTGTTTAATTGGTTGCTGTTTTATGTTATTCTTAGTGCAGCACCATTTTTGAAAATGACTGTTGTCTTTCACATCTTAGATTTGCAAAAAATTAGTCAACAATGATTGGAGACTTTTTGGGATGGCTGGACAGATAATCAGAAAGTGATTCTGTTATTTCTGGTTGATTGTTTTGTTTTCAGGTTTGTAAAACATAGTTCGATTATGAAAGATAGAAATTCAAACTTTCATGCCAAAACAAGCGTCTCATGTATCTTAAGATATTAATTTCACACAAGTATGATGTTACGTCCTGTTTTCTTTCAGCTTTAAATATTAAATAGTTCAATATTCTACTATTAGGAAAAGCAGCCTAATATAATATTTGATTTACCTTACATGTTAACTTGTACTTTCCTACAGCATACAAATTTTGCAGATACTTTACAATGCTTGAAGTGATAAAGATTTTTATCATGATCTGTTTGGTTGATAATTCAATGACTTTTGATGTTATTCCTCCTTTTTATTAAATTAAATTTACATTTCAATTCTTTTAATTTTCTGTTTAGAACTTCATCAATGTTTTCTTAAGCTTATCAATTTACAATTTTTGTGATGCAGAACACAGGCCGACAATTAGGATTTGGTATTTTTACTTCTACTGATTAAGCCAATTTCATAATTTTTTCTTGCAACAATTTCATAAGAATTTTAGGTACATGTATTCATTAGGTTCTTATGTATATACATACTTGCCAACCTGCAACACCTCAAATATCAGGAGAATTTTCTCAATGACAAAAAGATTTTTTATATGATTCAAATATATAGAAAGAAAATATATTTTTTGATAATGAATTAACTTTAAATAGTAAACTAATTAACACCTGAAAGTTCAGTTACTATTTTGGAAATGCAAATCATACAAAAATACTTATATGTCAATAAATGTTTTTATCATTTGTATCTTTTAATAGAAAAATAACTTGTACATTTGACATGTAGGTCAGCTTTTGCTAATAAAAGTTTATCTAATGTGCCATAACTAATATTAGATCTAGATTTGGTCCTTGTTTTAGTAACAACACTGAAAATACTCTTGCACTCAGCATTACTATATGGAATAATCAGGATGGCGAACATTATTCTAGACAGTTCACTATACTTTAAAATTCCATCACAACCTTTCCGTTTTCCAGTTAAACTCCAGCAGGTGTCAATCCTAGTTAATTTTATAACTTTATCCAAGTTTTCTAATTGTGAATTGCAAAACTGTGACTGCTATATATAAGTTGCAACACCAATATCATCTTTCATAACTAAATGAAGTAAATCAGAAAATCTATTCAAAAAATATATATGAAAAAGGTGAATTTGCTAGAGCAAAATATATGGCTCTTTAGCGTGGAAAGGATTAGGATTGGATTGTGTTGGATTATTCAATTATGGCAAAGAACACAAGGACTATCTGCCTAAAGGGAAGGAAGCCTTCGTGGAGGACTTTCTAAGGCAAACTGGCTTTACACATTACACATGGGGAAAACCACGAAAACGCCCATACAGCCAGCCCGTTCACATGATTCGAACCTCGGACCTAACTACTAGTGTTCAGCATCTTTACCGCTCGGCCGCTGGTGGGCCCTTTAGCGTGGAAAACTTATGCAGTATGTAATCACGTGCTCGACAGAAGTAGCTTCTGATATGGAAAATGAAGCTTATTTTTATCTTCCTTGGAAAGTTCTTCAATTTAGTTGTAGCCTTTATTATCAAATCTACATCTTTTGTCTGATTTACTATTTTATCACAAATCACGCATTATATATAGAATTAGAAAATAAAACAAAGAATACTTTGATAAATGTCTTCAAACAGATTATTAAGCATTGACTGCAAAAAAACGTGAATTAATGGAATTCTGCACTTTAGAACTATGTTAAGAGTATCAGATGATGGCAAAGCAAAGAGCTTTGTTAGGTCCAAAGACAAAAACACAAATATTCGTTCTTCACACGACAAATTTACTATATCGAAAAATGCTTCTCTTGTTGAGCTTTTATTATTATCATTTTATTTTGAGAGAACTGTGTATAAGCTTTACCTTTATATTTTGTAGTATTATTTTGAGAATTGCGAATTAAATTGCTCACATGTGCAGAAACTATTTTTCCCACAGCTATTTTTAACAGTGGAACTGATAACTAATCTCCATTTACTTTACGTACTTTATAACTTTCAGAGCATTTTATCTTAACTCTAGAAGTATTTACATCTTCCTTAAAAAATGAAAGAAAAGGTTTCCACTGGTCAAGGATTCTAAACATTTTCTTTTTTTAAAGGTAGCCAGCATGTACACATATGTTACAAATTTTTTTATTTCAGTATTATGCAGCTGTTGGCATTGTTCTTTCTTTTTAGAACTCTTTTCAAAGTAATAATAAATATCAACGATGTGTTTATCCACACTTACTGGCAAATATGCTGCCCCTTTTGCAAATGCTAAATTTAAGAGGTAACAGGTACACCATATAATTTGAAAATCTGAATTTTCCTTTTTTAAGATGCCTACAACAGCAGTCTTAAAACCTACCATTACTGCTGCATTGTTGGCACTAAGTGCTAAGCAATCATCCAGAGGAATTGCATTTTCTTTTAGTTTTAATAATTAGCTGTGCTATATTAAAGCCTGCAGACTCTCCTTAAATGAAGCCAGAGAGTAAACTACACTCAATTTCTGAAGACTCTGAATTAAAATTGAAACAACTGGATACAGTTTCACATCGGTATTATTGCTTCCATCCGTAGAGAGGCAGAATGCAATGGTTTTAATGCAATCAATAAATGAAGATTTATTTTTCATACCCATTTCTTGAACAACTGCAGGCGTTTTTGCTTTTGTACTTGAACATTTCTTAGCAATTTCGCCTTCGAGAATCATATTTTTAAATAAAACAGCAAAAAGGTTTCAATGCATTCAGTGGCAAGTTCTGCCCCAATAAAAAGGCAGAGAAGAGGCATGCTATATTAATAACTTTTTGGTTCTTTGTTTCCACAGAGAGATTTAATTTTTAATTTTTTCAATATAGCTCATGCTGTCTTTGTGTATGTACATGTTTGAGAACATCAGCCCTTCTACCATGCAAAATCGAAAATCACAAATGACAAATGGCACACATAGCAAATGTATTTCACTTCCTTGATGAAATAATAGAAGAAAAGTCAAAGTACATGAGTATTTTACCTTTTTCACAGACATAATAACACAAAAGATCACAATTTCTTGAAAGCATGTGATACTCACAACACTTAGCAAGATGAACAAATTAACCTTGATCTTGCTTTCAGTGGAGTAGCGAGCATAACTGGCGCCCGGGGCAAAATACCTTTTGGCGCCCCCCCCCATTTCCCAGAAAAAACACAGTGATATGATGAAAATCTTTGAGAGATACCATTTGGCGGCCCTCTGCGAGCGGTGCTCGGGGCATCATACACCCCCTGCCCCCCCCCCTCGGTACTCCACTGCTTCCTTTGTGCTCATTAATACATGCCAGATGATGCACAGTTGCATTTGAAGTTAGCTGTCGAACTGGAACACGACATTTTCAGACACATGTGCTCTCACTCACAAAGCAGAAGTGCATCATAGTGTCTCAATGAGAAAACAAAATTAGTTTCCTTTTATATGTGTAAATAACAAAGTACTAAGCCAAAATTGATAAACTGATTCTATAATTCACTCATAAAGTCTTTATTTTGGTTTTATGCAATCCTGATTTATTCTCAATTAGCCAGCATGGAAGTATCTGGCTATCTCCCCCCATACAAGTATGCATTTTGCATTAAATGAAAATATCTAATTATTAAGAAAAGTCTGCAATATCTCTATACTCAGTTAATTATTTTAACACAGTCATCACATACTGCTGCAAATGTGACTAAGGATTTACTATGTTAGATGCAAGAAATGGTATATTAAAAACAGACACTCAGCACAAAACAAATTCGTAAGTTCTTTAAAAAAATATCTATATATGAACATTCAACACAGATGCTAACATTTGCACATTTTCTAGATCAATAATAATAAAAAAAATGAATGATAAAAATTAAAAATATGAGGCATTTCATTTTAACTTCTTGTATTAATTTTGAAAGAAAGATGTAGAATTTTTCATCAATAATGCTTCAATCATGCAGTATGCGATCTACCAATTTTAGTTGGCTATTTTTTAGATGACGGTACTCAAACTGGTTGCTCTTCTTCACATCATTATATCATAGATTCAGATGTAAAATCTGTGTTTCTAAGAAATAAAAAGCCACTTAAAGTTGTAGATTGTATACTACATGATTATCCAATATTTTTTTTTTTCTTTTGCAATCAAATACTGAAGAAAAGAATAGAACACTTCACATACTTTAAAAAAAAACTTAATGAAACATAATTCAATTATTCCGTTAAAAATTATAAAGAAAATGTTGAAGTATACCTAAATTCACATAGCTCCTCATGATCAGTTTTTTCTGTATGCATTAACTGCTGTTTACACCCACTTTGTGAATATTTACAAGGAAAAAATACAGTTGTTGCAACTTTTTCCATTGCTAAATTCCTAATATTTCCTAAATAAAATGAAGGAAAAATTATTTTTAAGGTAAATACTAATTTTTTTTTTATTATAAACAATATATAATAGTTTTTCAGATATAAGTTAGAGGAGTCCTGATTGTTGCTATTTGTCACAAAATATGTATTAAAATGAGGTTAAAATGTTTTTCATAATACTGCATGAACTTACTGTGGTGTTACAACTAAATTGTCCTAATTTAGGTTGTTTAATATATGCTATATAAAAAATAACTTTCCATCAAAGACTACTAAAAAATATAATGGAAGAATATTTTCTTCATGGATAAGTATTTTTCCTTTTTTTAGATGCAAAAGTAATTAGAACATATTCAATACTGTGTGTTTAATAATCTGCATCCAAACAGTGGCTTCCAGTTCCTATCTTTAGGTGCCTGCCAACCACAATATCATCACAAGATAAAAACTTTACTCAAATCCTAATGTAAAAAACAACCATAAAAAAGGATAGAATTATATATCACACACAGAGGCGTTGCATTTTTTGTGTTCTCCTACTCATTTCTTACACATATAAAGTTCAATCAAAGAAATCTTCTCTAAAAGCTCAACAAAGCAGTCTTTTTACACTAAAAAAATGAAGCAAAGAATAACACAGAAGTATTCTTTAATGTAGTGATCCACAACCTGTGGCCCACCAAGACCTTTTCAAACTTTTGTGGTGATTTGACACATTGGTTGTCTCTAGAAGGGGTTGCAAGCAAAAAAAATTTCACCACTCCCTCTTCATTATTCATTCTACTCTGTCCCCTCAAAGTGAGATTTCGCACTGAGCCAAGTTCCAAGCATCAAACAAAGCACATATCCGCTGCCTGAACGCGAAAATTGCTCCTAGCCTGTAGGACCAACACCTGTAGAAGATTGAGAAAGAGTCTGTGTATGACATAGCACAAATGTGTTGTCACACATGTGCTAATCAAGTGGAAGGGGAAAATATTTGCTTGGATCCGAAGCGGTGCTTTCATTTGCTTGGCATCATTTGCACTTTAGGCTTCGTGATATATTGTTTTATCATGTGTGTGTTTATTTTTCTCTTCAAGACTATTAAGAAAATTCATACTTTGAATATTTCACCTTTTTGTTTAAATATTATTTTGAAAAAGAAACTAATGTAGAATTTTTTCAATTTTTGTTCCCTGTGGTTTTCATAGTTGCTATGATGAATGGATGCAAATGAAAAGAAAGTTAGCAGATGATAACAAGAAATTTTTAAATTTTTGTAGAGCTAAAACCCATCCCTTCACTTCCTGTTTTAGCCATCATGACTTCACCCCCTTTTCTTCGGTTTTAAGTTTACAAAACTTGCTCTTTCCCTTTTGCCGCTTAGCCTTCCCTCTCAGCCACTTTTAGTCGATAGGCTTTGCTTCATTTCGCCTGCTCCCCTTCTTACACCAGTTTTGCTTCTTCCCTTTTTAGCCAAAAGGCCCCCCTCCTCTATTAGCCATTTGGCTTTTTTTTAGCCCCATTTTGCTCAGCTGACATGCTTTGCCTTGTTTTAGCCTATTGGCTTTTGCCCACTTTGATAGTTAGCACCTGTCTCCTCCTGCCTAGTCCGAAGTGAGATAACAGAGTGTCTAGAAGCGTGGATTACTTACTGTCAGCAATTGCTACAATTGCTACCCACTTACTGTCAGCAATTGCTACAAAACATAGCAGTTGCTTTCAGTAGCAGGAGCAGTTATAAGAGTTTGTTGTTAGCATTTTTAGTTGATGTAACAGCCCATCTGAATGACTTAAACAAAAAATTGATGAGGAAAAAAACCAATTCACTAATCACCTGGCCCCTACAGTATCTGCTTTCAAACTAAAACTCCAGTTGTTCTCAAAACAGTTTGGCTGTCGACATTTTGTCGATTTTCCTTACCTGAAGGAACTCTAAAAAAATTTTCCTGATAAACAACTGGATTATTCAGATCAAATAAAGAGGCTGCTTATTTCTTTTGAAAAGTGATTTGCAGACTTGTTAGTTGCGTATGGTTAAATTTAAACTGTTCGGGGATCCATTTTCTGTTGTAGTCGAAGAAGCTTCAGAATATGTTCAAATAAAAGTTGTCTATTTACAAAGTTCTGACTTACGCAAATCCAGATTCCGTGATTTAGATATTCAGGACTTTTATAGAACTCTACCTGCTGATTTTTTGCGCTTAAAAAGTAAAGCAAGCAGATGTGCTAACATGTTTAGTAGTACTTATATATGTGAACAAATATTTTCTCTTATGAATCTAAAGAAATCAAAGTGAAGAAATGAACTGACCAATCTACACTTGCAATCTGTCTTAAGAATATCAACAACTAACTTTCAACTTCAACCAAATATATCAAAAATTGTTGATAAAATTCAGTCTCAACCATCACACTAATGCATTTAACTATGGCTAACTTGTACACATTTTTATTAAAATATTTGTAAACAAGTATTAAATTATCATGCACAAGCATAAACTGTAGTTTTATTCAAGCTGGACTGGGTGTTTTGGTCCCAGTAGCACAGGGAAAAAGGAAAACCCATCACTCTTTGCTTACATAACATACATAATGGTCTCCAAATGAATTTAAATTTGATACGGTACATCATGTCTGAATTGCAAATTAAGTGACTTATTGCATTGAACCCCCCCCCCATTGCCCTTGAAAAATTTTTCCACACACTATTGGCTCTTGGCAACCAAGTCATTTCTGTTAGTGGCACTTCTGCTAAAAAGGTTGTTCATCCCTACTTTAAAGTAAGTTATATTCTTATATCACATATAAAAAGGTACATTCAAACAGGGCCATAGTGAACGAAGCGATGCTGATGACGTCAGAATCTTTATTGCATGAATTTAAAAAAAAAAAAAAAAAAAAAGTGAAATAATCTCAGCTATAATCTAGAATGGCAAATGATATCTATATACAGATAACATTTGATTTGGAAAAATGCATACACTTTTTCCAGCAGTTTGATTAATCTACTGATGTTACTGACTCGCTGCAACTTTTCATGAAAACAAGAATAGTGTTTTCTGACTTCTCCATAAAAGAAGCATTGTTGATTTACTTTGGCAAAACACATATTAAGCAAGACACAATAACATGCCGAATAAATACTAATTCAGAAGTCAAACAACAAAAATCAGCGTTATATTTACAAAATTTTCACAGGACTAGTTTCGATGGTTTTACCGAACCACCATCCTCAGCTGCAAAAACCGCAAATGAACAAGATAGGAAATAATGATTAGATAATATAAGAAAGCCTGGACAAGAATAAGCAAGTGACGCCATCTGGTGAAACCAGAATTAAAAGATAATTTCTTTAAAGGCCAAAGGCAAAGTTGGATTGGAATTAGGATCGTTAACTAGAACAGAAAGACTTTTATGAATGTGAAATGCCTCTAGAAAATCCAGTTCTCCAATGAAAGATGTTTTTTGAATAATTTTGGCAGCAGAAAAATTGAAAGTGTGATTTTCGGACCAACAATGTTGTGCAACAGAAGACTTCTGTGTTTCCTTTTTTCTAACATATGCCTCATGTTCCTTGACGCGAAATTTTAAGGCTCTTCTTTTGGCCAATGTAAATTAAACCACACTGGCAAGGAATCCTATAAATACCCCAGGAATCATATCCGGAATGGGGTCCTTGAGTATGGAACTCGGAATTTTATTGATGGGAGAATAACACCCGAAAGTTAAATTTCTGCAAAATATGTGCAACTTTATAGCTAATTGATGGAAAGAAGGGCATGACAACAGAATTTTTATAATCTCCTAAAACAAGAGTGAGCCTTTTAGTGTGTTGAGATGAGAATTTTTTAACTGCTTGATTAATAATGTTGGGTGAAAAGCCCCTGTCAATAGCTATTGCTGTTAAATTGTAAGCTTGCCTTACTTTGGTCCATCATAAGGAATACACGTCAAGAATTGTCCAAAATTGAACATGAACTCTTTAAGCTTCATCGCTAAATCATAAACTCGCTAAATCATATCCAAAATTCACTGCTCTTGAACAAAAGTCTTGGTCTAGAATGGAGAATGCAGTTAACCGTCATAAAAACACCCTTGCAGTTAAAATTCGAAAAACTCCTTTTACAGTCTTCCAGTTCAAGTAGTTCAAAAAATCTTCCTATTGTAAACATCAAGCCAATAGTTAATATTTCTAACGTTAGTCTTTCAGTATAACAAGAGAGAATTCTAAAATATAATTTTTAACTTCTCACAAACCTGTAAACCCTCGATTTCAAAGATTTTGGCTCCTATCGAAAAAGCTTTCAAGTTCAGTACAGTTTCAGATTCACAGAAAGAAATGATTAGGCATCTTATCGCTCATAATGTGAAATTCAATAATAAACCTTTGAAACCAAATCTAACTGCAAGAGAAAGAGCTACAATGCGCGAAATTCATTCTAACCCGGATATTATCATTTCAAAGGCCGACAAAGGTGGCCAGATAGTCGTCATGGATAAGAACACTTACATCGATGGTGTCACTAAACTCTTAAACGAAGGACCATATAATCCGATCCCTAAAGATCCTTCACCTTCGGACTTGTCAAAAATAAAAACTGCGATCAAATCTTCGCAAAATCATTTCAAGCAACTTAAAACATTCATTTATCCCATCTGTTGCGAATTGTACCAGATCATATGCTCTTCCCAAAATTCATAAAAGTGGTATTCCTTTCCGCCCTATTGTATCAAATTTAGGATCTGCCTCGTATCCATTAGCTAAATATTTAGTTTCTAGATTTTCAACTCTATTAGACAATAACATTTACACCATAAAAAATTCAATAGAGTTTGTAAAAAAGGTTAAAAACATTTCTCCTAGTAATTTACTCATGGTTTCTTTTGATGTAAAATCATTATTCACCAATGTCCCAGTGGAGCAAGATGTCTAGAAACCAGACTTCGCGAATTTCATTTCTCTTGTATCGAAATTAATGAGCTAATTTCTCTCACTCAACTCTGTTTGAAACAAACACATTTTGTTTTCCAA